TTTTTGTCAGAAGAGCTATCTTTATAGCGTTACTGTAATGTTAGTGTCAATAATCTTAGCATGTTCAGTCGCTGCTACTTTTTCGTTTGAACAATAAGATAATATAATTTGCGTTGAAAGTGACTATAATTTTAACGACATTAACTATTTTGTTCTCTCAACATATATCAAGCCTCTTTTTTAGTTATATGTATTATTCATTAACATACGATATACGAGATCCCAAAGAAATGAGTAATGTCCCAAAAGTAATGAGAATAGTTTTTGCGCGCATGTCAGAAGGGCCATGAAAGGGAAATGGCGATCAAGGCATTTAGCGAGGGATTCCAGGGATTCCTCCATTATACAATCTGACGCTTCTCAGTTGCCTCTGAGCCTTTCTGGCAGTCGATACATCAGCAAAGTGCGTTGTAATTTTTGTGTTTTGTCACAGGCAAAAATGCAGCACAATCTCGAACAGCGTTACGCAATCAAATTCTGCGTGAAACTGGGAAAATCTCGTTCCGAAACGTTAGAGATGTTGAGAACGGCTTATGGGGATGCTGCTTTGCCTTCAGCTCAAGCTTTTAGGTGGCACAAAGCCTTCAAAGACGGAAGAGACAACATTGAGGACGAACAGCGCGCAGGGTGTCCTTTAACTTCAAGAACTGGTGACAATGTGGCTTCTGTCGAGGCTATTCTGGATAAGACCTTTCTGGATCTCAGCAATTCTCTGGACCAGAAGATGGCAATTATTGCAAAGAAGATAAAATAACTAACAAAGACATCCGCCGAATCGTTACGGAAAATCTGAAATTGAAGAAAATTTGTGCGAAACTGATCCCTAAGAATTTGTCCGATGGGCAATCGTCTCTGTTGATTTCTCGGGAACTGTTGGATCGTATCGATAGGCGAGTCCGATATTCTCCAGCGAATGATAACCGGAGATATAACTTGGGTTCCCGAGTAAAATCATTTTGGGACAGTTGAAAACGTCCAATCAGCTGCGACGAGGGTTTTGAACGACATCTTATGTAAAGACTCCTTTCATTACTATGAAGAGTGGCAACAACGCTGGAATCGCTGTATTCGATCACAAAGAGCCTATTTTGAAAAAAAATTAACTGTAATTGAATGTATTATTAATAAACAAATTTTTCTTTAATCATTCTCATTACTTTAGGGACACACCTCGTACGACATGAGCGATCATAGTCCAGTTGGCATCTCGTGTCGTTCATTAAAAAATCTGCCCTAATTAAATGAACGGTCGCGATTTGTCGTGTTCGTAACGACAGGTCGGCGGTTACGCGACTGCCCTCGTTCCACCCGCTAATTTCGCATGCGCGTTATTTTAAGTGGACGCGCGAACATAGTAACGATAATGCGACGTAATGCGATGCAAAGCGCGTCGATCTAATAATAATGTCGCGAAATGATAGGGACACACGCGTATTACGACACCTACCCACTTGTCGTTTCGCTAAACACGATCCCAGAAAATTATAGGAATCACGTGGCGACGCATCTCCTCTCGCTTTCTCGCTTTCTCTCTCTTTCTCTCTCTCTCTGAGAGTCGGCTCACGCCAAATTATTCTCGATTGCACGCTCACGCTACATTTTATAACCGTCAATTAAAAGTGACACCGGACAATTGCTGTTTGTGACCGATATATCCTCCTGTATAATTCCGAATGGAGCCGCGAAATTTAATAGCCGCCCCGAACCATACATTGTTGCCCGTCGTTACGCGCGCGATTTTAATCAAGAGGTATTCCCTGTTATTACCATCGATCGAAACTCGATTTCAGCCGGGATTCTCGTGCACTCTTCCAAACCTCCGCGAATAAATTTCCGTTGCAACGCACAGAGGCGTTGCATAAATGCGCTGAGAAACCCATTTAGGCTGCGTTCCGATATTCACCGCCAGTATTAAGAGTAACAGTACAGTAACGCGACGAAACATACATTCGAATTTGTTTCCAACCAATAAATAACATCGAAGGAAAAGTCACAGGGAACATTTACTTGGCAACATTTCAATTTCTTGTTCTCAGTGCGCGAGCGTCGAAATTGTTATCTGAAATTCGTCCGGTCGACGAAGAATCCTTCATTCGATAATTCCGAACGGCAGGAAACCAAGATTGATCATGAAGCTTGTGAAATTGCTATCGCGTCGGGGTTTATCGTAATATCGTTCTTCTAATCAGAGTAAAATACATCCGTCATTTGTCTTCGCGTTGCCGGCTCGAGACGACGTCATAGCCGCGAGATGCATTTCGATGCAATCACGGGAATCGAAAATTGCCGTGCTCGCGAGTATTCCAATCTCGCGTTGCTCGCTCGCAGCTGCTGCGGTGGTTGCAACGATCGCGCGGCAATTGAACCGAGACGGCGGCTAACCGCAGCGATTATTTTCAATGCGAAGGGCGCTGGGCGAGGGAGAAAGAAAGGGAACCTTTTACGGAAAAGTCGAAATCACGGTCGGACTCCTCGCTGCCATGAAATCGGATCGGCTTCAATCGACGTTCGGTGGGCTTCGCGTTTTCGTCGCGCCGTTTTTTACCCGTGCGTGTCCATTCTTTCTTCTCGTTCGCCTCTCTCTTTCTCTCGTCGTCGTGCACGACTACGCGAGGATTTTTACCTCAAAAAGGAAACACACCGAAATAATTGCCGTTCCAGCCGAGAGACTCGATCGTAAGACGAGATCACGGAGATAGCCGGCGATCGTAAAAATCACGACGACGACGGGATCGACTTTTTCCAGTCGCTAGACACTACAAACGCGCGTCGGCAATCTCTGAGTCTTTCTCACGATCGCACCCAAGTTACACCGATAGGAGGAAAAAGTTAATATCGTTAAAATTATTGTCATTTCGGGGTAAACCGTTTGTTCTTGTTGCTCGAGTGAGAAAGTAGCGATGGCAAAACGCATAACAAGATTATCGCCATTAACACGGTGATGGTACTTACTATAAAAAAGAGTTTTCTCGACTATTATTTATTCATAGTTAATCATAAATAATTATTTCATCAAGCGATTACGAGACATTTTTCCTCGGTGTAATTCCGAATTGTAAAAATGTACAAGCGGGGGGAGCACAGACTTCCGCACAACGCATAAGGTAATAAACCAACCAGAGTTCATTTCTTTCGTTCCATCCTGGGAATAGAAATAAAGGAGCCTGATGGGCTCATTTTCTCATGAGTTATGCAATAGTCTGTGCTCCTCGTTTTGCGATAACAGCCCATCATAAATCGAGAAGCGATCACCGACATCGACCACTTCCATCGTGAGAAAGAAGCAATGTTGAGGCTTTACGGGCTTCTTTTAGTACACGATTCTTTCAGTATAGCATTTCTTCCAACATAAGAAACGTCTATGCGTCGGCCATCGCTTCTCAGTCTGATTCTCGCTCCCGTCACTTTGCTCTACACGGGGTAAATCGCTTCGAGCAAAAAGATAACCACCCAAAGTTATACACTTTTACATCCGGTCTGTCCGTACACGCGCGTTATAATCTCCACCGATTCATCGCGCGCGATTTGCGACGCAAGGATTCGGCGCTCCCTAATCGGCCACATTCTCACCGCCGCGCGTTCCTTCGAACGGGTTAATGCGAGCGGCAAAAATCGACGGCGGGTTCTGCATTTTTTTCCCGTAACGAGGCGGGCGTAAATGATAGCGGCGCGCGATAGGAACGCCGCAGGTATTTAATGCCGGGTCGCCGCCGCTGTCCGCATTCTCAGGTGACAAGCCTTTACAGCTCTCACCGCTCGCCGGCTGCGCGACGAGACGCGCCACCGAATGGGAAAACTATAGCGTCCGTCGCGGTGTTGTACCCGGTACTTATATGTACATACGCGCGAACGACACCGCGCCTAGCTTGTACGCGCTCAACAAATAAGGCACTTGTTAAACGCTCAGCGCAGCGGCCGGTGGGACGGGTTCCGCGCGGGGCCCTTTTGCCTTAATCGGCGCACACAATACCTGCTGTTCCCGACGCTGTTCTGGTCGAACAGCCGGTGTACACGTTCTTGCGCATCGCCATACTCGGCGAACGACTTACCGAATCGAATTTTCGCCTCTACCCTCTCTCTCTCTCTCTCTAACGAGCTTCTTTTCCGGAACCATTCGAATTTTTATGCCGAGAAGTTCGTCCTTGTTCTGAACGCGCGTCTAGTATTATACGTGATAATAGGTTTGTTTTCTATTCCTGCACGGGCTGCGCTGGCAGAAGTGTGCACTGAAGCGTCTTCTATTCCAGAACTTCTGTCAGAGACGCTGTTTTCTATTCCAGTGCGGCGGAACTCAGCGCGAGAAGTTCATTGAACCGGCTGCACTAGGTCTGGGAGCCAGTGCTAGGACAGTTGGAAGAACAGGACTTTCGAATAAAAGTATAAAAAACATCAAATACCTTATATGTAGTTATGTTATTGGATTGTTTCACTCTAATGTTCACGATAAGTATGGGCATGCGAAGCAATATGTCCAAATAACCAAAGTTACATTTTATCGTTTCTACTTTGAAAACTTACACTTTTAGACGTTTACTATACAGGAAATATGTTTCTCTACTGGATATGAAATACATTGTGAAACTCGCCAGAATAAAGTGTTGCAACTTTTTGTGACTGACAATAACGACCTCAGTTTCTCGATAAGTATAGTGGCGGCTCGTAGCGGAAACTTCTGAACTAAAATCGGCAAAAATAACGGGTCTAAGACTGATATTCATATAGTCGGAACACAATCTTCATAATCCTTTACTTAGACCCGTTATTTTCCCGTTATGTTTATTAACCTAAATATATGATCAATATATTTAGAAATATCATTCAAAATAAAAATTGTCTTCTTAAAACACCGATCGCTAATCCAACAATCTTCTGCTGTATGAATTCGATTCAAAATGCAATACTTACAAAATCTACTTACATGATATTTAATCATGAATCGCAATGAATGAATGTAAGAATTACAATAAATTAGGATATACCTTGGAAATAATTAGCAATAGTCGTTTTCTTGTTTTATATTTATTTTCCTTAATTAATAAAAAGCACAATGATTACTTCTCCGCCTTCTTCGTTTTTGCTGAGGCCTGTTGTGCTTTCATAACCTTAACGACGATCTTTTGTTCCTCGATTAAGAATGCTCGCACAATCCTGAAAATAACATGTCATGTTAATATAAATATCATGAGTTGTGTAACTTGTTTATTGATTTTATCATTAGAAAATGAAATAGTTCAATTTCAGGTACACTTCATCAATCTACATTTAGGTATTGTTAATCTGATACATCAATTTAATTTAAAAACACTTAAGATTCATTTCTGGATTGTATCTTTAACTGTGATACACATACCTTTCCTTTACACATTTGTGACAAAGAACTCCACCATACACGCGTTTGACGGTCTTTTTCCGCCTGCACATACGTGAGCGTTCCATCGGCCTCGCAGGCTGAATACCCCTGAGTTTGTCTTTACACTGCCCACATCTTGGGATCTTCTTGGGCTTCTTTAGATATTGATAAACTAATTTGCCACCTGGTGTACGTACACTGTAAACATTTCATACACCAATTAATCTTTGAGAACAATATATTGTTTTTTTGCAGGAAGCATATTACAAAGAAACATTCTAAAACGTTTATGAGGAAATTCATAAAAGAATTTCACATAAGCTTGATATACTCTGGAATCTGTAAACTGATTGTTTACGGTATTAACAGCTAAGTAAATCTATATAAGTTTATCATACTAAATTAATCCTTTGCGTTTACAATAACTACATTCGCTGTTTCATACTTGTGAGTATTGCACGAGTTCAAGCAAGTGACCAAAACATAACCTCAAATTTCCGAGTACTTGCAGCAATCATCGCAGTAGGAACGAGTAGTAATAAATTTCGTTATTAATAAGAATCAATGACATTTTCGCCCGAAACTAACGTTCACAATCGCCTGCAAAACGATACTTACACACGTCTCCTGTTGCTCTTTGTGTTGTACGACAAACGTCGTCGGTAGGTTAATCGCTGTACCATCTTGGTTCTGCAAAGTGAAGTTTACGTGTTAGCGAGAAAAATCTCACCCTCTATAATAAGCAGCGACGTATAATCAATTATCGCGGATGTGCCCGGAAGTCACGCACTGTTAATGAATCTTACGATTGACGAGTACAACGTGGATATTCGAAAAGTGTAGGATATCAGCACGAACCTTTCTCAGAGCCGAACGAAAAAGGAACCGGATACACGCCGGAAAGGGCTGTCTCCGCGCACGCGTGGCTGCGAGAATATCGGGCCGTCGCTATCGTCATCTGTCGGCGAATATCGCAACTCGCTATCGACGACGACGGCGAACGTTTACCGATGATCGAACTTGCGTTGTTGCGAGATAGAAAAAATACATTAGCAAATCTATGATAATTATTTCATAATTATTAGCACATCTATGATCATTATTTAATCATTTTAACAATTTCGTTTTATAACTTGACATGCGCGAGAACCTTATCGATGTCGCTTATTTATCTGCAGCAAATGCGCGCCTGAGCAAATAGTTTGAAAAGTTTTCCTCGAGGTGGCTCCACCAGTCGCTAGTTCGAATTTGTCGGTCGAACGGACGCGCGTTCCTCGAACGTTCCCGCTTTTCCGCGATGAAATCGTATTCTTCGTCGTTCGGGTTACTATCAGCTATCGTGACGAATTAATTGTTCTGCAAGTTTCATCTCTTCACTGTCGGAGAAGATCAGGAAAATCCGCAGAGCCGTGTATCTGCGGGTATGTAACGCACTATTAACCTTCTCACTGCTTTCTCGGAACAATGGCGGACAATTTTTTAAGGACGGCTGACAAAACGCGTTTATTTCGAAATCTCTCATTATTTCGTGTGCTTTATTCGGCACGTAATAAAATTCAGTCATACGTGCAATATTAGTTATTTTAAGCTACTCCACTATTTATTATTGAATTTCACAAATTATTTATAACTTTATGTTATAACCTCTCTTTCTCCAAGTTGATGTTTTTAAATTGCTGGATCTTAAAAATATTGTCTGTCAATTACGATTTTCTTTTCTTGTGATATATACTCAAAGATTGTTTCCCGTTAATAAAGATTATTATTATTATTATTATCATACAATTCGTTCGATACAACGCGAGAAGGAAGAGGAATAAACCTAGACAGAATTTTTACATCGTATAAGGTATATTATTTATTATATCTTATGTACATTCAACATCGTCTTGACAACACCATAGGAAAAATGTTTTAGACATGTTCCAAAATTTGTCGGCAGTAACTCTTTGCTTGCTTTTTTTTATCTTGCGCTTTTCTTTATACAATGAATCGAAGACACACGGAGGCGATTCGCTTAACCAATCTTTATGAAAACTCAGCTCAGCGAGTGTATATAAATTATCGTGTGTACGTGTATATGTGTGTGTGTGTTATGTGTCGACGTATGTTTGATTATGAGTACGATGAAGGTGTCATGTGTGTGTATCTATGTGTGGCCTGTACGTGTGTTGCGTGTATGTGTGTGTGCGCGCGTGCTATGTGAGTTATGTATAATATATGGGACGGTACCTGTAATGCTTTATTCCTTTTTTCGCTGATTTCATCATTTTCGTTTTTCTCGAAGCAGGTACTTTGATAGAGTTCGCTGTAGAAAGAGTTTGTAAAAAGTAAGAGTCAAACAACGCGCTCGTTTTTAATTAACGCCTTAACTAAATGATATAATATTAATAGCTGCGTACAGATCCCGACGATCGCACATCTCTTGTTTGTTCCTTCTTCTTCTTCTCCTCCTCCTCCTCCTTCTTTTGTTTTCTATATCACTGTAACTGCCAGCTTCTCGTCCGTTTTTCATTACTTTACACACGACAGAGTTTCCAACGTGAGAAAACTCCGGAAAAGTAGGGAAAGTATGAGCGTCATTCTGCCCCATATCTCGTCGCTAAGTAGTAAATAGATAACTTACGATAGTTAGAACGTTTGCAATTTAGTCAGATCTCTCTAAACAAATAAATAAGTTCCTCTTCTTTTAATAAATAGTAGTATAGTTGCGTTAAAATCGATTAAAGGATTAAGTAAAAAAACGCGAGAGGCGGTTCAACCAATTAGCCATTCAGCCAGCTTGTCGTTCTCGCTCCCTCTCTGTCTCTCTCTTTCCCTTCTTCTCTCCCTCCCCCCCCCTCCCCTCCTCCTTCTCTATGTCACAGAATTAAAACAAAAAACGGGAAATAAATGTAAGAACAAATTATGCGGATCACTGAGTTAACAAGGACGTGCGCGAATTTTGATTTCTCAGACTTATCCCTGCCTCGCGCGCGTTTCGTCCGATTTCCGGATTCGTACACTCTCGAATGAAGCTTCACGCGTGCACGAGATTAACGGAAATATGTAATGTGACGAAGTACGATCGAAAACTTGGAAAGTGTAACGCGTATTCTTTCTTTTCTCGTTCGCTCCCGCGAAAATGAGCCCGCTTTGAACGTACGGGGTAGAGCCGGCGGAACGAAAGACAGGATCGGAAAAGTCGTACGCAAGATACTTTCGCCTCTCAAATGAACGATACGTCCTCTAGCGCACGGTTTAGTTCGCGCGAATCCTCCCGCTCTCGCGTGTTTCTCGCGCCTACGTGGTGGCCGTACGTGTGTGTATGTGTATATGTGATATTGATAGAGCTCTATGAAAATCTAAATATCGATTTGTCGAAATCAACAACATCGTCGAAACTTCAGGTCGCACTCGCAGGTTCGTCGCTAAAACACAGATAGTTACAGCTTGAAAATTCTTAAAGACCACACACTCTCTCTTTCTCTCTCCCTCCCGCTCTTTCTTTCTCTTCGTCCTACCCGCGGAGTCTCGACCGAACGGTATTACAAATTCGGTCGAGTTACACGAATTCGGATCGCCTTCGACGCGACTTCGTCCGTTCTATTTCCACTCCGTCCGCGCCGCTTACCTTCGGTCGGGACTCCGCGCGATCTCATATCGCCACCCTTACGTTTTATCTTACTTTTTTTTTTTTCATTTAACCTTTAATACGAACATTTAGGAAGATAGCGCTATCGATAATTAATATCTTCTGAAATTTGTTAACATTCTCTATATAAAAATCTGCATTTGCGTGTATTCACTTATTGCTTCTTAATCGTCGCCGTTTCCGTAGCCTTCACACGCATACACACGCATTCTCTCTCTTTCTTTCTCTCTCTCACACACACACATTCTTACTCTCTCTCTCTCTCGCTTTCTTTTTGTTTTTCCTAAGGGAGATTTTGCTCTCTCATTGCGCGGCCCACCGCGCCTCACCCATCCTCCTCTCGCGACGAACGCGGAAGGCAGCACGGCGAACCGAAAGACACCAAGGCGTATCTCGGTGTGTTTTCCGTATACGCTCGGAGAATGATCTCGAGCAACATCTCGTTTACGAGGAGGGCGGGGGGCCCGATCGAAGCAGCGTTGGATCGAGACGAACGACCACAGCCGGAGTCGCGACGACACCGGTGGCCGGGATTCTCGCGCGTCTCCGCGATTAGGATAGAAAGGGGAGCACAGGGGCAAATTAACGGATAATTATTGGCCGGCTACGAAGGCTACTACAAAGTTCGCTCCGTTTTGTCGTTGTCCGTGTTGCATCGAGGACGGAGTCTCGGCCACCGGCTCCTTTCCTCCTGCCCGCTCCACTCGTCGCCGTCGTCTCCCCGTCAGTCGTCCAACGTCGCTTCGACGCCGTCGACTACTACATCACTAGCGCGTTTTTCAAACGGTTGAATTAAAAAATACAGAAATTCCCCCGCGGCTCGCCGAACTCGCGTGGAAGCCGAAGTTAATCTCACGCGCAATATTCCTGTAAATCTACGTACGTCGTTCCGTTGGTCTCTCTCTCTCTCTCTCTCTCTTTTCCTTTCGAGGACAAATCACCGGTAACGTATGTATTCCCGAGGCACAACGTAATGCGCGTCGTGAGCCGCACGAAGTACCCGGGAAGCAGTCTTTTTTACGATCAGCGCGCTCGCGAGATACGGTTGCCGTATTTTATCTTATTTCGCGGTGAGGCGAGCCTCTCTCTCTCTCTCATTCTCTATTTTGCTCCCTTCCTCCTTTTGCCGCTTCTCTCCCTCGCTCTCTAAGAAAAAGAAAAACAATTTCCTATTAGAGATATATGTATATAGTGGAATGGACGTTGCTCCGCAAGCAAACTCCTCTCGACCGGGCTGTGAAAATCAAACTGCCTACACCCACTCGACCGTCGTGTCGCGCGACTTTGTTTCGCGCAACGCGCTCATGACGAGCGTCCACCGACTGTACGCTCGCGTTCGATTACTTTCCTACGTTTCTCGCGTTTCCTGGCTAATAAAAACTTTCCTCCCTCTTTCTCCCGGTTTTCCCCGTTTCGCCCGCTGGAAATCTTGGAGAGAAGAACACGGTCGATCGATCGGAATCGCCTCGATCTCGACGAAAGCGCGACCACGTGTATTACGTACCCGCCGGTGTCCCTCTCGCGCTCGCATTGCATTCCGGATAATGTTGATATGTTGACGCATTGCTTGCCGGTAAGGGACGTGCGTTTGAGAATCGTTTTCTCCCTCTTTTACGCTTCTGTTCTTCGTTTCTCTCCCTCGTCAGCCGGACGCGATCTTTTTCGCTCGTTTCTTCGATTTTCTCGCGCCTCCCCTCGCTCTCGTTCTTCCCCCTTCAACGTATCGAAGTGTCTCGCGCGCGTATATTTATAATATAATATCTATCTTTATATATATACGTATTATTTATATAGTAATCTCGTATTCGGTGATCGCACGCTCGTGTACATACATTGTATAGCGCGAAGAGCGGGCTGCGGATTTCTCTCGTCATTCGTCACCGATGCGGCTTCTCACTCACACACACATGCACGCATTCTCCCATTCTCTCTCAATCTCTCTCTTTCTTTCTCTCTCTCTCTCTCTCTCTCTCGTAATCGCGTCACACCAGTCTCGCGCTAAGTAACTCTTGCACACTCGCGTTGGCACATGTCCGCTTCTTGTTTCGTCGTGTTCGTTAATCGACAGGTACCTATACAATAGACCGCGTATGTACGACATACTCTCACACCGGGATAACGCAAAGGCAAGATTCGTGGGTTTTTTTTTCTCTTTTGTTCTCTCTTTTCTTCTTTCTCTCGAGTCGTGCCTCGTCAGGCGAATCGTCTCGCGCACTCATACTCGTCCATCCCTTGCGTTTTCGATCATTTCTCTCTAGGTGACGTATGTACGTAATAATAA